AAATTGCACAAGGACAAACATCCAGACCCGGAACAATTATTTGTAGGCCATACAAATACTTGTTCCGTGCGGGATTCGTACCCGCGGCCCCCAGCGCAACAACTGATTGCTAAGCCACTGCGCCACGGAGCCGTCGCCGGGTTATAGCTAAAGTGACCATACGTCCCGTTTTGAACGGGACTGTCCCTTTTCTCGGTCACCTGTCCCATTGTCCCCAAACAAAGCTCCGGGACACAAAATTGTCCCGTAACTCGTTGGATGGAAGTATTCAAAGTCAACAATCTTCAACATAATTTTTTTTAATCGAATATATTTTATGTCTACCTGGTACAAATGCTCCGGTAGAAAGAGTATTTTTTTATTTTGAATAAATTGTGGACTTCTGAAAGAAACACGGTTCCAGTTCTAAAGGCGATGTTGTTAACAAAGATAACAATAAAAAAACTTGAGCAGAATTTTATTCTTATTTAAAATCATCACCAACTTTATTAACGCAAATTTAATCCGCTTACAAATGTAATTAATAATAAAAAAATATGTTGCATTTAATAATTACCGTCTATACCGAATATAATTTTATAGTGAACACTAATTGTATAAAGTTATAGTTTTTAAAGCTTCACCGCGCAGTAAAAAACATAACAAATATATGTATAACTAATACGAAAAATTATACCCAAAACAAACATATAATACTACCTATAAATAACCTAATAAGTAATAATATTATCGACTGATATGACGTGGGCGTATGCGCTGGCCGACGCTCTAACGACACGGGCTTCACGTCGAAGAGCTCAGCGCTCACTGACGCCAGAAAGCCCGTGGGCAGTGAATACGCCAAATTTTAAAATAAATTCTTAATAAAAACAAATTTTGGTCTTTTGAAAAAAAAATTTATAATAGAAATGTTCATTAATAAATTGCCTATCCATTGGTGTAAATCTCAAAATAAAATAATACTTACTTTACGAGGAGATGCATGTTATCAATAATAATTTCACATTTATGTGGTTTCGTTGTAAGATTATATTAATATTTATTCCTTTAAAAAAAATAATGGATATAGCTTTTATGAAATCAAGATTATGTAGAAATATAATGTTTTTTATTTGTTGATATATCTTTTAAATAAAAAGTAGATAGCTCCTAAAAACCGCACAAATAACGACTAGCGCGACATTTTGCTCAACCTGCGCCTTAAGATACAAGTTAGAAATATACAAATCAACCAAATATGTAAAAAGGTGACATAATTGTCTAATAGTACTTTAAATTCCGAAATTGAATATTTGTGAAGTATATATCGTTTAATAAGGCTACAAAATTTGATAAGCAACACTGTTAAATATTTGTGAAGTAAATACCGTTTAATAAGCTTCGAAATTCTTAAAGTAATACTGGTAAATATTTGTAAAGTAGATACAGTTTAATAATGCTACATAATTGTAAAAGTAACACTGTTAAATATTTGAAAAGTAAATACTGTTTAATAAGGCTACAAAATTGGATAAGCAACACTGTTAAATATTTGAAAAGTAAATACCGTTTAATAAGGCTACAAAATTGGATAAGCAACACTGTTAAATATTTGTGAAGTAAATACCGTTTAATAAGGCTACAAAATTGGATAAGCAACACTGTTAAATATTTGTGAAGTAAATACCGTTTAATAAGCTTCAAAATTCTTAAAGTAATACTGGTAAATATTTGTAAAGTAGATACAGTTTAATAATGCTACATAATTGTAAAAGTAACACTGTTAAATATTTGAAAAGTAAATACCGTTTAATAAGGCTACAAAATTTGATAAGCAACACTGTTAAATATTTGTGAAGTAAATACCGTTTAATAAGCTTCAAAATTCTTAAAGTAATACTGGTAAATATTTGTAAAGTAGATACAGTTTAATAATGCTACATAATTGTAAAAGTAACACTGTTAAATATTTGAAAAGTAAATACCGTTTAATAAGGCTACAAGATTGGATCAGCAACACTGTTAAATATTTGAAAAGTAAATACCGTTTAATAAGGCTACAAAATTGGATAAGCAACACTGTTAAATATTTGTGAAGTAAATACCGTTTAATAAGGCTACAAAATTGGATAAGCAACACTGTTAAATATTTGTGAAGTAAATACCGTTTAATAAGCTTCAAAATTCTTAAAGTAATACTGGTAAATATTTGTAAAGTAAATACCGTTTAATAAGCTTCAAAATTCTTAAAGTAATACTGGTAAATATTTGTAAAGTAGATACAGTTTAATAATGCTACATAATTGTAAAAGTAACACTGTTAAATATTTGAAAAGTAAATACCGTTTAATAAGGCTACAAAATTGGATAAGCAACACTGTTAAATATTTGAAAAGTAAATACCGTTTAATAAGGCTACAAAATTGGATAAGCAACACTGTTAAATATTTGAAAAGTAAATACCGTTTAATAAGGCTACAAAATTTGATAAGCAACACTGTTAAATATTTGTGAAGTAAATACCGTTTAATAAGCTTCAAAATTCTTAAAGTAATACTGGTAAATATTTGTAAAGTAGATACAGTTTAATAATGCTACATAATTGTAAAAGTAACACTGTTAAATATTTGAAAAGTAAATACCGTTTAATAAGGCTACAAAATTGGATAAGCAACACTGTTAAATATTTGAAAAGTAAATACCGTTTAATAAGGCTACAAAATTTGATAAGCAACACTGTTAAATATTTGTGAAGTAAATACCGTTTAATAAGCTTCAAAATTCTTAAAGTAATACTGGTAAATATTTGTAAAGTAGATACAGTTTAATAATGCTACATAATTGTAAAAGTAACACTGTTAAATATTTGAAAAGTAAATACCGTTTAATAAGGCTACAAAATTGGATAAGCAACACTGTTAAATATTTGTGAAGTAAATACCGTTTAATAAGGCTACAAAATTGGATAAGCCACACTGTTAAATATTTGTGAAGTAAATACCGTTTAATAAGGCTACAAAATTGGATAAGCAACACTGTTAAATATTTGTGAAGTAAATACCGTTTATTAAAGTTACAAAATTGTAAAAGTAACATTAATAAATATTTGTAAATTAAATGTTTTATACTGTAAAAAACCCAGTCATTTTCAATAACAAAAATTGTATTTAACAAATAACCAAACATTCTTATTAATCAACAGATCACCTGTCAGAATTGTATTACAATTCTACATTAATGTAACATTATTTTGCAGTTTTTATTTTGATTGAATGGGTGTTTTATTATCTAGGTGGCTAAAACTATTTTTAGTCTGTCTGGATAGTTTTTTTTGTATAGAAATAGGGTGACAAACGAGCACATACTCCACCTGATGGTAAGTGGCTGCTGTGGCCCATAGACATCTACATCTATCCTCGTTTACGAATCAAAATGCAGATGCGTTGTCAGCCTTGAGGACTAATATGGAGTGCCTCGTTTCCAGTAAAAAGGGTCTCCGGTTCTCTACACTCACCATACGAAACACAGCAGCATTAAGCTGCTATTCTACGCTGGTATTCTGTGAGAGCGTGGTCCTTCCCCGGTCGAGCCGACCTACTCATGCTACAACTATATTATAAATATAGCTGCAGCAAGGCTCTACCACGTACAATGTATTACGCTCTTACCTATTTCTGCTAAATAGCAGTGCTTGCACAGCTGTCGTCTGAAGGGTAGAGAACCAGTATAATTAGGTCCTTTGAGGCATTGCATTTTAACCCTCATGGGTGTCAATGCATCTGTAACTGTAACCTTTGTTTGAACTTGGTTGCAGGTGTGCACGGGCTGCAGTAGCCACTTACCATCAGATGGACTGTAAGTTTGTTTGTCACTTACATTATATAAAAATAAACAATCAGAAGCCACCATGCCCTATAGTGGCGAATTGAACGAATGTATAATACTCCTACGAGCATGTAATGCAACGTACAATGAGGGCATCCACGACTTTTCTGCCACCAGGGCGGCGCCACTTAAAAAGAGAGGTATAATATTTTACAGATTTCATAGCGGGGAAGTTAATTTGTTCGGAAAATGTAAAGGTTAATGTTTCTTTGTGTACTATTTTAACTATATTTTATATTAATAACATTAAAAATAAATAAAAAATCAAATCACAAATATTCATAAAAGTAGAAAAATTAAAAAAAGTTTAAAATGTGCAATAAATTAAAGAGCAAACCAGGCATGAGGCATTGTTTTGTGTATTAATATAACATTCAAGAAACTGATAAACTTTTATTTAAAACTAACTTCTCAATAAAATACATTGTGTAACAAAAAATTTTACCTCAGTGTCAACTAGCGACATCTAGTGAGCAGAAAATTATTAGCCCTCATTGTCAAGTCATCATTTCACAACTTAACCTCTTTTCCGCGGCAAATGTATTTTAAAATCAGTTCGCTCACAGCGCACTCATAATAAGAAGTTCTATCCTTTATAATTTGTAAACTTAACCAAAATATATTTTTATCAAACTGATCAAGTGTTATCAGTTTATGATCCACTTAGTATCTTTACAACCCTGAACAATACTTAAAGAATGGAAGAGCTTTTATTAGTTTCATTTTATTTATTCATAACAGTTCAGCCGTAGATTTCTTTGAGACTTCTCTGGCTGATTGGCAACCACTGTTTTTTATTATTATTATTGAATTGTTATCAAAAAGTTCATTTCCCTCTGTCGCCTCTTACGACACTGGCGTAATGGCGGCAGAGGGATATGAGAAAGAGTGTTCTCTTACACCGCCGATATACTTTACAAAGCGCTTATTATAAGAACGAATTTCAAGTATGTTACTTTTATATTTACTTGAAATATGAAAATCATCATTGTGGTTTTATGTAAGTTAACACATCATCAACAATTACTTTTGAGTTATATTCATTTCGAAAAATCCACTCATCATAAGGAATTACATAGGTACTTACCAATAACTTTTTACGTCGTTTTCGAATCTAAAAAATAAAAAAGTCTTACCTGGTCCTGTGTCAAGATGACCTGCTCGCCGGGCTTCCTGGGCCGCGGGCTGGACTCTGGAGTCTCGACTGGCGAGAACCAGTTCACCGTCGACTCGCCGTAAGTCGACTGCACACCGGTAGGTCGCACTGGGTTGAGCAATGGCGTTCTTTCCGACGCCACCAACTGGGTTATAGGAACTTGAAAGAAACAAGGGTTTAAATATTGCGAAAATTATTACATAAATAAAACGAGAACATCATTAGCGTAGTCGAAGTCAATTAATTACGCATTATTAAGGATAATTAAAAAACTACTGGCCAGATCTTGATCAAAGAAAATCGTACCAGACGATGAAACAATGGCGTCACCATATGAAATGTTTATGAAAAATATCCTTATTTTTTTAAGGTCATAAAAAAACACAAAAATTACCTCTCTAAGTAGCCACAAAAAAGTTATCCTTTTATTTTTGTTTTTGTAACTGTTCCGAAATTATTTAAAATATGGTTTCTGAACGCACTGGAACGCACCTAATGGCGATTCATTTCATGTATGAAAGGACTTTGTATTCAAAGACTAATTATTCACGTTTTTCTGAATAGTTATTAATTGTAATTTAATTCAATTAGTATGTAGGCATCAAATCAACTACTATACTGATTTATTATGTACTGGATTCATGTCATAAAAATGATTATGTAGCTTCATAGTAAGCTAAGCGTTTTGTTCAATTACGTACAACGAGACATCATGTGTCATCGTCAAGTTACATAATCTGTGGTCATCAATCGACATTGATTGTCACCCGGCAATCATATACATATCTATTTATCTTATTTGCTTCATTCGTTGTGGATTGTGATACGTACTGTAGTATTTTAGATTTTCTACTGTTGTTTTGACCTCGGCATTGTTTTACGGACTGATAACTACCACTTGTAACGATTATTCTGTGCTTTTGATTTCTGAACACCGATTTTGCATCTTGCATATTTGTGGGAGACATCATGCAGACTACAGCTACACAACAACGACAACTAGCCCTGCGATAGCTATGTGTTAATTGTAACATATGCACTGATACACTTCGCCGCCATCTCGTTTTGGAGCTTAATACCAGAGTAATTTCTAAGATCCGCGAGTGGAATTCTTCCATAAGTAACATAAGCCATGCACATCATAATACAAATCTAATTCTTATTTTATATCACTGAAGAACATATGTGATGCTAACCTCAAAAGTATTGTTGACGTTATTATAAAAAATTGTGGCTATTTAGATATGATTTTCATACGGCATGGTGTTTACAATATAAAAACAAACCAATCTAGCTATAGCTTATTTTGGGACATCTATACTTATATAATATAATAAAGCGGAAGAGTTTTTTGTTTTTTTGTTTGTTTAAACGCGCTAATCTACCAGTCCGATTTGAAAAATTATTTTTGTATATTATAGCCAGATTCATCTGGAATAGTATAGGCTATCTAGCATTAAGCTATATTACTCAATTAGCCTTAATATGGATATTTGTTAAGCAAGTCAGAAGAAAAAGCACTCCCGAAATGATTTATCCGCGTACGCTGGTGTTATCGTTAGGGATACGTAAATACAATGTTCTAGAAAAATATAGACTTTTACTCCGTTTAAAAAAAAGTCCGCGATACCATATGTCTATTTCTTATACATAAGTGGTAATTTTTTTTGACAAAAAGATATTGAAAATTTAAAAGTGATTTATGAGCGTTATTATTAGGCATGGCCTATTTATCCTTACTTCATCATCAAGACAATTTTATGAAGATAAACTTTGTTCTTTATACCATGTTATTTGGACGCATAGTTTAAGAGATAATGTAAAATTAAAATAATTCAATACTTGGCTGGGCGCGCGAACGACGCTTAAACCCTAGCCGTTATAAAATGCTTGAACTAGGTCATGTCGCGCACCTTGAACACGTGATGACGCGGGTGAAACCGCGGGGCACAGCTAGTGAAAAATAAAAGTCAAGTCCAGCTCCTATAGAAATTTGGCCATTGTTCTTTATATGGGACCACATGAGAAGCATCAGCTTTCAAATAAAAAAAATTATCAAAGTCGGTTCGCCTAGAAAAAAAATTCTGAGGTAACACATAAAAAAATAGCCGTAAAAATAGCCGTGTAGTGGCGGTTAAGAATATCCACTACCCCATATCTTCCCGTGGGTGTCGTAAAAGGCGACAGTGGAAAACAGGCAGGAGATGGGCAGAAGCATATTCCTGATAACAGCAATTTCCTAAAAAAAAATCTGCGGTTGCCAACCTGCTCATCAAGCGTGGCAACTATGACTATATACCCCCCAATGAAAAAAGTTACGAAAGGACAGCCCCACTGCCGACACTACAGCCTATCTACGCAGTCTATATAAAGCAATGGTAAAAAAAATGGTAGAGCCATGCTGCAGCTATATTAGTAGTATAGTTGTAGCACAAATGGGACGGCTCGACCAGGGTAGGACCACGCTCTCACAGAATACCAGCGTAAAATAGCAGCTTAACACTGCTGTGTTTCGTATGGAGAGTGTAGAGAACCGGCGACCCTTTTCACTGGAAAAGAGGCATTCCATCTTAGTCCTCACGGGTGACAACGCATCTGCATTTTGATTCGCAAACCAGGATAGATGTAGATGTTTATGGGCCACAGCAACCACTTACCATCAGGTGGACTGTGTGCTTGTTTGTCACCCTATCCTATATAAAAAAAAAACATAGGCCCCCCATAGATTGCCTTATAGGGGGAATATTTACCAGTTGCCAGTAAGTTTGCAACCGCAGTTTTTTTTTTTAATTCAGCTGTTATCGGTAAGATGTTGCTGACCATCTCTCCTGAATCAGTTTCCCTCTGTCGCTTCCTACGCCAACTTACACCTTCACTACTTTTATCAGCCATGCATTTTTATTTGCTATCAATTGTAAGAAACTTTACAAAAAAGGTATCAACATTATACTCACTATTTGCTCCCATCTCCAAAGGCAGCACCCGAAAGTCAAGAAACCAGGCTTCACCCCACGCAAGGGTAAACGACGTGAGTATGAGGAAGACTTGGAAGACAGGTTGAGAGGCATCCGGCCACTGGGGAGACATGATCATATGGAAGCAATGCAGAACGGAAAAAAATTAAGTAAATGGTCTTTCATGGAGGGAAATTAGAGTAAGAACCCCGACGGCACTACTGATTGCAATTTTCAAGGTCAATGTAAAGCATGATTAGAAAATCGGCACGTCTGCAAAATTTAAGATATTTCGAAGACATACTTAATATGATTTTATACGTGCTAGAGCCATGCTGCAGCTATATTAAGATTGTAGCACGAATGGGTCGGTTCGACCGGGGTAGGACCACTTTCTCAAAGAATACCAGCTTAAAATAACAGCTTAATGCTGCTGTGTTTCGTATGGTGAGTGTAGAGAATCGGAGACCCTTTTTACTGGAAACGAGGCATTATAGGGGTGACAACGCATTTTGTTTTTTATTAATAGAGGATAAAGTTTCTATGAGCGTCTATGAGCCACAGTATACACTTACCAACAGGTGGACTGTGACCAACAGGTGGACTCGTTTGTTATCATTATTATATTAAAAAAAGGCCTCCAGCCCATCCTGAAGGAGCGTAAGCAAAATTCTGTTGTTTATCACTTTTAGAAATTAAAATTTATTTTATTTTATATATGTCTTTGAATTTACCACAAATTTACTATCAATAACTTTTATTCCTGTCGGTGGTTACAGCATAAGAGGATCCATCATCCCATTTCGTCTCTTAGGTATTGTAAACGACGATTATTTATTATTCTATACCAAAAGGATATCACAGCTTCCGACAGATGGCGGTATAACGATCTCTTATAATAATACGAGTATGTCAAAAGTAAAATAATGATGGTTCCCATACGTAGCCACCACAAGACACAACAACTACAGTACAGTAACTAGTAATGAAGGTAAAAAGTACTATTTACCTCATACTTACATCATAAACGAACACTTTGGCTATCAAGAAGGCACATGTTCCGCCAGTAGAAAGCTGAAATAAATGTAACATTTACAAAAATGAAGATGATATACGCGGTAGAGCCACACTGCAGCTATATTATGGTTGTAACACGAGTGGATCGGCTCGACCGGGGTAGGACCACACTCTCACAGAACACCAGCGTAAAATAGCTTGATGCTGCTGTGTTTCGTATGGTGAGAACCGTAACCTTTTTCACTAGAAATGAGGCATTTCATCTTAGTCTTCACGGGTTACAACGCATCTGCATTCCGATTCTTATTCGAGGATAAATGTAGATGTTTATGGGCCACAGCATCCACTTATCATCAGGTGGACTTTGTGCTCATTTGTCAACCTAATTCTTGTTAACGAAAATAAAAAAAAAACTGTCACTGTAGTTGCTATGTAGTCTGTGTTAATTTTAGTGCACAAAATACAGTGAACAAAATGGACAAAAAATGTCCAACTGCATATCTCAGTATGTTCAGTTGGTTTAATTTACATTTATTATTAAAATTTTCTTTTAATGTTTTTTTTTGTAATGGAATTTTAAACTTAGTAGAGTAATTTAAACTTTAATAATTTATTTAAAAACGTCTTCACGACATGTTGATGCGTCATATCGCGAAGTTTTTGGGAGATTTTGGTGGCAGTTTGTGCCATCAGACAGTCGATGACGAGTATCTCAAGACACATTATCTTGAGGTTCACATCACCATCAGAAACATTTGTTTCATCGTTTCCACTAGTAGTTCACATGCACAGACATTTAATACACGAAATCGCATTACTTTTACGTATCAAAATCCACTTATACAGAAACCAGAGCAGCAATCCGCCGACGGTCTAGTTCCCGCCAAACTATTTTTAATGTTATGTTCTTCTAAAAATGTTATTCGTAACTAAATGTACTGTATAACAAATAAGGAAGACCGAAGTCTCCTACTTTTAGTATATTAATACTTAAAATTATATCTCTATACTCCTATATAAGTATTGCAAATCTATTATTACTGCATAATGAACCTTTTTTTGATATTGATTTTTTGTTTTGTTTCGTAGTATACTTAGCCCTCTAAGGCAACTGATCAAAAATTATGCATGCAAACATGTGTAATGATAAATTATAATAATATATCTTGTAGACAAAGTGGTATATTAAGCAATATTGTTAAGACCGAAAACTTATGCGGGTGATTCAAAAGCCGCCAAGATGTTAAGTTTCTCTTTCTGACACAGCTACATTTACAGTCATTCCACAATATGACATTAACATGTCAAGACTGATTTGATATTATTGAAAAAAATGTACATGAATTTTCTATATAATCCTAGATAATAATTCTAAATATAAAAGAGAAATTGCAAAAGTGATCATTAGCTCTGGCAATAACTCTTGCTTATTTAAACTAGATGGCGCTGATGTCTAAAATTTTTATATATATAAGAGGGCAAATGAGCATGCGGCTTACCTGATGATAAGTGACTACAACCGCCCATGAACAACTGCAACACCAGGGGAATTGAAGATGCGTTGCCGGCCTTTTAATAAAGAGTAGGTTTTTTTCTTAAAGGTCCCTAAGTTGTATCGGCCTGGAAAAATCGCTGGTGGGTAGTGTACCTTGTGAAAGGAATATTTACAATAGTCGCCACGCTTGGCAGGCGGGTTGGCAACCGCAGTTCTTTTATATTTAGTTGTTATTAGGAAGATGCTGCAGCCCGTCTCCTGGTATGTTTTCCCTCTGTCGCCTTTTGCGACACCCACAGAATGAATTATAGGGTACTAGATATTCTAATACTGCCACTACACAGTCAGAATTAGAAGTTATTTTTAAAATATTCAATGAAATCGATTTTAGCTAGGATTATCGATACATATAAATATTAATATATAACGTGGGATAAAAATATATAACGCAGCAGAGGCTATCCTCAGATAGTACACGGAAGTTGTCTAGGATCAAATCCAACCGTCATGTAAATTTGACATGGTTCAACAGAACACAAAGAAATTGAAAAAATACTGGCACTTTTTGGCAGCAACAATGTGTGTATATTTTATATTGATTTCTAGATGAATGTTACAGTTACTTACAGCAATAATGCTCCAATTACTAATATATAGCACTGCATAGAAAAGAATCAGTAATAAAAACCTAAGCATCGCAACTAACACAATGTCGAAGAGCGATAATTTTATACTGTACTGGACAATCTCCCTGTTAAAAATTTGCACTATAGTTTCGCCTTTCATCTGAAAAGAAATACAATATAGTTAATTTTTTATAGAATACAAGTTTCTAAATAGAACATTATTGTATATTAATTATTTATAAAAAGTTATGTCCCCAATTCAACAGACAAACAATTTTGGTCCCAAGCCTATATCATGAAAACTTCTTGCTTCTTTCGTCCGCGTGGAATTTATTACGATTGGATGTCATGGGTTTTAATTTTTTTGTGCGGAACCCCAATTCTTTTAGGTTTCGCATAAATTCCCACAGTAAACTGCAGACTATCTACGCAGTTGTAGCACGAATGGGTTGGCTCGACCGGGGTAGGACCACGCTCTCACAGAATACCAGCATAAAATAGCAGCTTAACACTGCTGTGTTTCGTATGGTGAGTGTAGAGAACCCGAGACCCTTTTTACTGGAAAAGAGGCATTCCAGCTTAGCCCTCACGGGTGACAACGCATCTGCATTTTGATTCGCAAACGAACATAGCTGTAGATGTCTATGGGCCACAGCAACCACTTACCATCAGGTGGACTGTGTGCTTGTTTGTCACCCTATCATATAAAAAAAAACGTGGACAACAGGTTACAATCGGCACTACGAATATAGCTTGACGTGTAAAAAGTTTTTCAACGGTGGTAGAGCCCCGCAGCAGTTTTTGCTGTTGCACGTATGGGCCGGCTCGAGCCGGGTTGGTACCACGACCTCACAGAATACCGGCGTGAAGTAGAGGCTCTGCTTCTGCGTTTCGTCTGGTGAGTGCAGGTGGCCGGAGGCCCAATTCCCCCCCCCCCCCCCATCAACATGGTAGCGGAATTACACAGTAGACTACCCCAGGAGGGTACCAGTACCCCTGGAGAATCCCTCGCTGAGCATCCACGACCATGTTATTCCAATCCTGAGCGTGGGTGCTCAGGCTGCCCCGCGTATTCTGAGGGGGGGGGGGGGGGGGGCAAAATTCCGCTCAAAAACAAAACTGCTCGGGGCAAACTAAGCAACAATACCAAGGCGACCCCTGCCACGCTATCCGTGAATTTCTGCAACATCAGGGGACTTCACTCTAACCTAAACGCCGTCCACTACCATCTCGAGACGGCGAAGCCGGCCTTGCTCTTTCTGACCGAGACGCAGGTCTCCTCTCCGGCTGATATTTCGTATCTCTCCTACCCGGGGTACAAATTGGAGCACTCCTTTGTGCCTCGGGCTGGAGTTTGCGTGTATGTCAGAGAGGACATCTGTTCTCGACGCCTCGGCAGTCTTGAAGGTTCGGACCTGTCCATCCTTTGGCTACGCGTAGACAGCGACGACCATCCGCGCGTCTACGGGTGCCTCTATAGGTCCCATAGCGGTAATGCCGAAACAGACCGACTCACCGACCACGTCCAAATGGCTACAGATTCCTTGCTACAACAGGTCCCATCCGCAGAGATCGTGATCCTTGGCGATTTTAACGCCCACCATTCTGAATGGCTCGGTTCACGTTTAACCGATCATGCGGGGAGATCTGTTTATGACTTTGCCTTGGCATATGGTCTGACACAACTGGTTACTTCGCCTACGCGGATTCCAGATGTGGAGGATCATACACCTTCCCTGTTGGACCTTCTGCTGACCTCTCATCCGGACGGATATCAGGTTTCCGTCGATGCCCCTCTCGGCTCTTCGGACCATTGTCTGATCCGGAGTATGGTGCCACTCACGCTCCCTTCGCGGTTGCGTTCTGCAGGTTGCCGCCGTGTTTGGCATTACAGGTCGGCGGATTGGGACGGAATGCGGTCTTTCTTTGCATCCTACCCATGGGGGCGGGTTTGCTTCTCGCCGGATGATCCCAGCGCTGTTGCTGACTCTGTCACTGATGTGGTGCTACAGGGAATGGAACTATTTATTCCATCATCTGTGGTACCCATCGGAGGCAGATCTCAGCCTTGGTTTGGTCGCTCCTGTAAGACTGCATTGCGCAGTAAGCAGGAGTGTTATCAAGCCTGGGCTGCGGCTTCGGTGACTCGGGATGTAAACACCAGCACATTAAAAAAGAAGTATAACTTCGCCTCCAGGTCCTTCAAAAGAGTTATTGCCAAGGCAAAGTCAGAGCACATAGGCAGAATTGGCGAGAAACTAGTTCGCCTTCCTTCGGGAACCCGTGCATTCTGGTCTCTCGCCAAGGCTGTCCAAGGGAATTTCTGTAAGCCATCACTACCATCTCTGCACAGGGAGGACGACTCACTGGCCCAAGACGCAAAAGACAAAGCCGACCTTTTAGGCTCCCTTTTTGCGTCCAACTCGACTCTTGATGACGGGGGGAAAATACCGCCGACCATCCCGCGGTGTGAGTGCTCCATGCCGGATGTGCTATTCTCACAGCACTCAGTTCGCAAAGCACTTCTCTCCCTGGACATCCAGAAGTCGAGTGGGCCTGACGGAATCCCCCCAATTGTGCTGAGGACGTGTGCTCCGGAGTTGGCACCGGTCCTAACGCGTCTTTTCCGGTACTCCTACTCTCAAGGCGTAGTCCCGAATTCATGGAAGACAGCTTTTGTCCACCCGATCCCTAAAAAAGGCGACCGCTCAGACCCGTCCAACTATAGGCCTATCGCGATCACCTCCTTGTTCTCCAAAATAATGGAATCCATTTTGGCACAAAGCGCTTCTTTCGAAGCTCCCTTCCTATGGGCTTCCCGAGAAATTGTGCAATTGGATCACTAGCTTCCTTGCAGATCGGAGCATCAAGGTCGTTGTAGACGGTGCATGTTCTGACTACAAGCCTATTAACGCTGGTGTTCCACAAGGCTGTGTGCTATCACCAACGCTGTTTCTTCTGCATATCAATGATATGTTGCTAACTGGTAACATTCATTGCTATGCGGATGACAGCACTGGTGATGCTCTATACACCGGCCGGGCCAATATTTCTCGGGAAAACGTCGCCGAGTACCGGAACAAACTTGTGTCTGAAGTCGAGTCTTTGCTGGACAAAGTCTCGGATTGGGGGCGACTAAATCTAGTTCAGTTTAATCCTCAGAAGACACAAGTTTGCGCGTTTACCGCTAAAAAGAACCCCTTTGACGTATCTCCTCGGTTTCAAGGCACTCCCCTTCTTGCCTCAGCCAGTATCGGTATCCTCGGAGTCGACATATCGAGTGACGTGCAGTTTCGTGGTCACTTGGAAGAGAAGGCCAAATTGGCCTCTAAAAAGCTTGGCGTGCTCAGCAGAGCGGGACAGTATTTCATGCCGGCACACCGCCTGCAACTTTACAAAGCGCAGGTTCGGCCTCACATGGAATACTGTTCCCATCTCTGGGCAGGGGCTCCCCAGTACCAGCTCCTTCCACTTGACCGCATCCAGCGCAGAGCGGCTCGAATCGTCGACGACCGAGCCCTTTCCGATCGGCTCGATTCATTGGCACTGCGAAGAGATGTTGCATCTCTTTGCATTTTCTTTCGCATCTACCATGGGGAGTGCTCTGAGGAATTGTTCGGATTAATCCCAGCCGCCAAATTTCATGAACGCACATCGCGGCAGAACTCCCGATACCATCCACACCATCTGGATGATTGGCGGTCCACCACTGTGCGATTTAGAAGATGTTTTCTTCCTCGCACGACTTCCTTGTGGAATCGATTACCATCAGCGATTTTTCCGGACCGATACGACTTAGGGACCTTCAAGAAAAGAGCCTACTCCTTTTTAAAAGGCCGGCAACGCATCTGCAATTCCCCTGGTGTTGCGGTTGTTCATGGGCGGCGGTAGTCACTTACCATCAGGTGAGCCGCATGCTCGTTTGCCCCCTCTCCTATAAAAAAAAAAAAAAAGTTCCAGACTACCAGGGAATCTGTAGCAGTACTCTATAGTCCAACAAATTCGATAATCCGACACCTACATGGCCAGCCCCTTGCCACTTCAGTACAAATATAACACTTACCACAACACAAATGAGCCACATCAAACTTGTGAAGAGTAAATCAAATGTGACAAATAAACAAAAGAATCTTCGCACAGGTGACATCCTTCCCTGTGGTCTGTAACCAGCCAAAATCTCTTCTGTTGTTAGATTTACAGATTGTGAATGAGCTGAAACATTCAAATTAAATATGTTAAGTATTGTAATATATTCATTTCTTAGCCGTGAGAAAATAAAATTTCATTTGTCAAATATCAATCCTTTCCAAATTCATAACAGTTTCGAAGTGATGGTCCTCTCCTCTACCTAGAGAATAAATCGCAAATGAAACTGTATGCTTTTGATCACTTTTAATATTTTACTAGTATTCCATATTTGTCTGTAAAAAGATCGAAAGATGAGCTGAAATGTGAGCCATGGTAACTCAGGTGCTAAACACTCGTTGTAAATTACAGAGTATGTGAGCAACTTGGGTTAGACCAGCACTAAATAAATTGTTAATCGCAATTTTAAGTGCTGATTTACTTTCCTCAGCTGTGAAGGAAAATATCGTGATGAAACCTGCATATCTGACAAATAAGAAAAAATATATATTTTGGAGACCTGAACTTCGCCAACACGCATTGGCGCAGCGCGGCTGATATTCTTCTTGCCCTGAAACCCTCTCAGAGATGATAGGAGGCCTATGCCTAGCAGTGGGATGTATAAAGGCTGCAACTTCAACATAGCACATACATCACTAAAGTCTGTTCAGCGAGAGTTGTAAAAATATTTTTAAAATGTCTGGCAATACCAACAGCTTAAGTATTATTATATGTGTGATGGGGCGTCACTATCACCGCAAGCATAAAGTTTTGTGGTACAATGTGCAGCTGTTGTTAAGCATGAGGTCGGGCGAATGAACTGACTCAGTGGCTTTTTTTATTATCTATCAACAAAAATAATTTGCAGGCTGCAATTTGTAAAGAATTTAGGAATCCTGTTTATTTTATCAACTCTCACTGAACATACTTTAAGTTACATATAACTTAATTTTTTATAAATAAAAAACTTACATAAAGTTCTATAGTGTGGATTAGAAACACTGTCTAGAAGAGTTTCAGCTGCTACTCTTATGTGATGGTCAGCCATTATGACCCCTGTAACAATGATATCATAATTGCAACACAAATAAGTAACCTCTAATGTAGTGTCATTAACGATTACTAAAGATTTTGTATCACAGTTGTTAAGAACAATATTGTAAGCGACCAGGTTAAACAAAATTATTTCAATTTAAAAATATCACAAAGCACCATTTGAAATTTGACTAAGCGATTGTTGTAGTTTCACATAAGGCAAGCTGATTTACAATATGCCTTAACCTTAAACAACAGTGGCCTAGTAATACTGTTCGGACTGCAAACTCAGAAAGTAGTGGGTTCGAATCCTTCATTAGAGTATGTGGTGAACCACTCTTAACACAAGCATTTTTAAACTTACTTAAAGTGATTAATGGGAGTAATAGTAATGTTAATAGTGTTACTAGTATTATTAGAAAAAAACTGCATACATTATAATATTTTTTTTTCTGAAATATAAGAATTTCACCCAACCTAGGTGATCAGTCAGTGTACCGTGCAAGGTAGATATAAGTTAGATGAATAACTAATTTTATTTCTAGAAAATTGTATTGATGTCCAACGTCTACGACAGCGAAATATGATAGTACGAACGGGACATATTATGCAAAAATACCGATACGAGTACAAAAACAAACATAAATCAAAATATTTATCTTTGTACTGACTAATTTAGTTACCATTAAACAAATACAGCAATTGTTAATGGAATATTTTCCTACAAATTATTGTGTGTATTTTATTTAATTCTGACCTAGAGATTTAGAGTGAATTGACAGTTCTCATACCTAGCCTAATTTGTAGCATTTTGACTCCCTTATCATGCTATGCCAGGAAGTTGTCGAGTTCCCACTAACCCTGTATAATATGGTTTTTAACGGGAGAGTAAATTAATTAGATTTTTGTGTTTGATTAATAAACATTGTTTCATAAATTCGTACCTATGTTTTATTGAGCTAAAACATACCTTATAATTATCGCTTACCTAATATTTACAAATACTTACATAATCAAATTAATAACTTAAGTACAATAATGCATAGGCATCAATTTTACGCTTGGCATAATGGGCATTGAGCGATAGGCACACTCTATACCTTGCTTATTTGTACTATAAGTTTTGAATACTCTTCTAAGGGGTCCCTTAATTAAATTAAATTATTATATACTCTTTGGAGGGGTTCATAACTTTGACAAGTAATACATCCTATTGGAATTTTTCAAGCTTTGAAGAGTAAACTTTGACTTAAATTGACATTGTTGTACATACTACTAAATTTAAGACTAAGATATTTTTTAATACTTATAATTACATAAATAACATTTTTAAGGTTATTAAATATCTTACTATAAACTTAGTATGAAATTTTCTAATAATACAATAAGGATCCTCAATAATGTCACTAGGTAATGATTACAACAAACAAATGGGCAATGTTTATAAAACAACAAACCAAAGCACAATTTCAGGCATTAATTATGAAATAAATAAATAGCTTGAAAATTTTAAATGTTCATTGTGACAAAAATAACCAAGTATTTCTTTGTTTTATAGAAATTACTCAAAACACTCGGTTGACAAGACCTAGGAAATATTAACCAAAGAAATATATGTTTAATAAAAGATAAATAATAAATTAAATTATGAAGATTTATAAAATATGCACCCAACAATCTTTACATTGTTGAACTCTCCAGTCTCTACAAAATTTTCTTTATGTCAACAACTCCGATGAAGTAAAGAAGGAAGGAAGAATTTTTACTTCATCTGACTACAAGTTTTTTGAATAAAAAAATGACTTACTTTAAAAATATGTACACTAGCAAAGCATAACTTTGTCCAAATTCACTTAAAAGTTAGGGAAAACTTAGTATTTATACAATAAACAATGGTGAAATCTTTTCGTTTTATTCACAACGTGATATAAAAGTACTCTGTAATGTTATCAAGCACTTCTCAACAATGCACCAAAGATAAATAAATATGTATAAAAACAAAGGGATGTTACAGAACACTATGGAGTATGGACGTTATCATTTATCAACATTCAATCCAGTGCTACCAGATGAAAACTGCAAACTACCGTGTCAGCAGAATAAAATTACCGTATTTTAAGTATAATTTTTTGACGGCTCCGTGGCGCAGTGGCTTAGCAATCAGTTGTTGCGCTGGGGGCCGCGGGTTCGAATCCCGCACGGAACAAGTATTTGTATGGCCTACAAATAATTGTTCCGGGTCTGGATGTTTGTCCTTGTGCAATTTATGTTTGTAAACTGCCTCCACGACACAGGAGAAAATCCTTGTGTGGGGGTAACGTTTTTAAAACTTAAAAATAAAATTATTGTCTTAGATTTCTTTTGAAATTACAATCGAAAAAAAAGGGTCGATTTAAAACAAAATACGTTTTTATAATTTTTGTGTGTAATCACCTTTTTGCCCAGCTTTTGTTATTTTGAAGGATGTTGTGTTGGTCAAGTTTCAGTATCAGTCTCGTAACTATCACTGCCACCTTCATCGCTGCCCATTGTGATCTCGTATTGTACGATTTAGTAAAAAAAATATTATATGCACTATTAAACAGCAAAAATTATTAAAGGAAATGTAATAATCTAAGCATTCATTAACATACTACTCATTTTAATATAAGTTATACAAAAGAAAAAATACTGCCAGAAATTTTGCCGGAATTTTTTACCTGACAAGCATTGAAATGTTTGGGGATTTCCTGAACAGCGGCGGCCTAATTAGTATATGCGTCTTGTTTTACGCCATTTTTATAATTTTGGATTAATTCAACTATTATTTATATGGTAATTTATATTAAAATACCGTAGAAAATAACATGCTAATAGATCATTATCGTAGAGTCGTAGACCGTGTTTTGGTAAAAAATATCGTACATTTACGGTCACTACCGTGTATCTGGTAATACTGATTCAACAATAATATTTTTTATTTTAAGATATTTTGCTTGGATGCTTGTTCTTTAAGCAATGTCATCATTTGGGATCTTCGATTTTATACATTTTCAGTATCAAGTGATAATTATCCTTAGTACACTGCTTCAGAATATGTTGATGCGTCACATTACGTAGTTTTTAGGAGATTTAGACGGCTACTTGAGCCAGCAGACAGTTGAAGATAGTATCTCTAGGCGCCTAAACAGACATACACCTTATTTTGAGATTTACATCACCATCGGAGAACTTGTTTCACCATCTCCACTAATAGTTCACATGCGCAGACATTTAATACACAAAATCGCAGCACTTTTATATATCACAATTCACTTCAAACCATTATTTAAACAATAATACAGGAACAGCATTCCGCCCCCTGTCAAGTTCCCGGCAAAACTCCACAGAACACTATTACTCCTACGGAGCAAAACTCTACCAATCAAAAATATTTTTTATTAAGATTTTATGCATGGATGCTTGTCTTTTAAGCCATGTCTTCATTTCATTCGGGATTAACTTAAACCACAGAACTTAAACATAAAATTTTGCATAGACTTAGAATATACTGTCGTAAAATTCCTTACGGCAAGAATGTAACATAGAAAAGAATACCAAATATCGTGACTCCTTAACCGATTTTGAATATGCTATAGCCATGCCCACGGTTTCTTCACCTGAAATTTTACTTTGCACTGTATTAATACAACTTTCCAATCCTATTACGAATGAGGTAACTACAGTACGGGCGCTGCTAGACAGCGGGAGTATGTCTTTTTTTATAACGTCTGCTGTAAAGCAGAGGCTAAATCTGAAACAGTGAAGAGGAGCGACATAGAAATTAATGACTTGTAGAATATTTGATCTGACAATTGCCTTGCGTTGTATGGTATCATTTGAAATATACTGAATTCGCTGGGGACGTAATCATATCAAAATATATATATAATAAAAAAATCTATGCCACATATGCAAGAATAAGTGAGAGGCTTAACTACAGGGTAAGACATGGCTGACTTGTGGAGAAATGGGGCTGACTACTGGTGAAAAGTGCCATAATTTGTTTACTGCTGATTTTTTTATGTTATTCTATTATAAATATAGTATTTTGTTAATACGTTTAGTAAATATAATAAACAACCTTTCTGACAATTATTATTGTTTTATTCATAATCTTTAATAAAATACAGTTAAATCAAATTTCAGTCCTCACTAAAAGACTGTTTTACCCTATTAAGTAAGCTGTATTGCACTTTCGACTGCACAGTAAAAGTTAAAACACCTATTTACCTCATAAACAAAATATAAAATAAACCCTTACTTGCCTTGAACTCCATAGAACTATTACACGTAGCTATATTTCTGATACAAAAATTACGGTAGGTACAATCTATGTAGTTGCGTGTCCGTTAAGATATTTAACTATTTGAACTTGTTCGTAACGAACGTACAGTACTTATATTTAAATTGCGTCAGAAGTACTAAACAATTATTGTAAACCAATTAGGTATCCATGGATTTTACAATTATAGATTATATATATATATATATATATATATATATATATATATATATATATATATATATATATATATATAATATATTGACTGGCCTGTTGGTCTAGTGGTGACCCTGACTGCTACGCCGGAGGTCGTGGGTTCGATTCCCACCCAGGACAAATGTTTGTGTGATGAGCACGATCATTTGTTCTGTGTCTGGGTGTAATTTATCTATAATATTTATGTATTTAGAAATATATAAGTATGTTTATCAGTTGTCTAGTACCCATAACACAAGCTCTGCTTAGCTTGGGACTAGATGGCGTTGTTTGATAGTTGTGGAATATTATTGTGGAATATATATATATATATATATATATATTATTTATAATGCAAACAGTATAAATATATTCGTATTACTGTTTATAACTATACGCGGCGCAAATATCTTCCCAGGCCTTGAAAGCTGCAAGATAGCTTTCAAATTTGTAGTGTATAATATAGTGAGTTTAGAAAGTAGGCGCAGGTGACTTAGAGCTCTCCGCACGATTCCGTTGATGATAGAAACGTCGACAACACGAGGCGCACCATCTGGTCCGGGGAATAGTATGCTGACACGTCCCAAACGCCAGGATAACGGAGGCGTACTATCGTCCTTTAATAGCACCAAGTTTTTAAGCTGCAACTTCTTGGATTTGATGCGCCATTTCGTGCGTTGTTGCAGCTGGGCTATATACTCGTTGGCCCATCGTCTCCAAAAATGCTGGCGAGCTTACTCTAGGAACACTGCACTTGAAGTTATGTACAGACAGATAAACTGCACGCGTCACGACTGTCATGAAATTAGGCCTTTTAATTTTTAATGTTATAACTGGACTAGAAACTAGCTAACCTAGTTTGGAAATTCGAAGTATAGGATTACTCTCACCTAAAGAATATGATTCGGAGCTTAGGCTCACGCAGAAGTATATTAATTGAAAGATAAAAAATTATGCTTTCTTGACATATGAAAGGGGCAATTTTATCCTAGTTCATTGGACGTGGGTTTAAGTTTATATATCATACAAAAAAGTCTTAGTCTATCTCCCATTTTATCTACTGTGGATATTATATACACCGGCATGCCCATGCTCGAATGGTGGATAAAACTAAGCGAGGGGTAATTTTCTCCTTTCCCCGGAAATAAAATTGTCTCCCGCCCATGTTGGCCCTGCAGGTGGGTTTCTATACTCATGTGTCCATGCCTACGGTTAATTAGCGCGAAAGGAGCGCCGGAGCTCATGACGCATTTTTCATGAAGTGTTTGATGCATCATGAAACTTTGTTGAAAAGTATCAGTCGACTCAATAAGCAGGTATATGACTGTCTGCCTGGGCTACCTGGGTACACCTGGTACTGCGCATACAGGATAGTCGCAAAAAAAATTGCCCAAAAAAAAGTGTTTGATTCAAATAATAATAATGACTATCCGTCAGCTAAGTTGATAAAGAATTAATAAAAAAAATGGCAGACACTTCTGAAGGGGTTGACATAGAGGCAGACTATCCCAAAGATGTATTTTCAAAAATTTCAAAAAAAGTGTTTGATTCAAATAATAACAATGACTATTCGTTACATAGCTAAGTTGATAAAGAATTAAGAAGAAAAATGGCAGACACTTCTGAACGAGTTGACATAGGGGCAGACTATTCCAAATTTGTATTTTCAAAAATTCCAAAAAAGTGTTTGATTCAAATAATAATAATGACTATCCGTCAGGTAAGTTGATAAAGAATTAAGAAAAAAAAATGGCAGACACTTCTGAAGAGGTTGAAATTGGGGCAGACTATCCCAAAATTGTATTTTCAAAAATTCCAAACAAAGAGTTTGATTCAAATAATAATAATGACTATCTGTCAGCTAAGTTGATAAAAAATTAAGGAAAAAAAATGGCAGACACTTCTGAAGGGGTTTGACATAGGGGCAGACTAGTCCAAAGTTGTATTTTCAAAAATTCCAAAAGAAGTGTTTGATTTAATCTGCCATTTTTACAGTGTGTTTATTATATATAATATAAAAATTCTCACAAAAGGGCAGACAGTTTCTCCGGGGGTTAATAATTTAAAAATATTTAAATAAATATTGTGTGGAAAGGAGGCATATGTGCTACGGATTGTAATAAGTGCGAAAGAGAGCTATGGTCACCGAGATGTCCTTAGTCATTCTTCGTGTTATCGTTGGCTGCGTATCACGTGATCATGTACAACTGCACCTGCAGGATATTATTTACTCAGAGAGTTTTCATCTAGCCTTTAATACGCATTGTGACTGACAGTTAGAGTGTAATTTTATATTAAAATCAGTAATTAAATACACTATTTTGGATTAATAGACCTTATTAATTCAAGCAATCGATTATGGAATCTGTTTCTTGTAGATATATATATGTATATGCTGACGAGTCAGATGAAAGCGAAAATTAACAAAATATATGTATCTATCTATATATTCGCTATAGATATATTTTTA